ATCAATGGCTTTCGTGCGATTTGCGCGCAATATCATGTTTTGTGTTCGTAAACTGCATAAGTAATAGGGACAATCGCTACTATTAATGACAGGAAATTGAAATTCCTGCTATGATTCTTTCAGCCAGATTTTATTGATTGTAGCGCAATACTTATAACTGTGAACTACTAGTTATAGCATTTTAGTGAAGAATATACTGATTGTACTTCAGGTTATATACATCACATGTTCATCATGAACGTTTTATGTTTGTATTACTTTTTTATAATTGGTATTGATCCAATGAGTGTATTACAACTTTTACTTTGCTACTTAAAAAATATTTAATTACATTTAAAATAAAAAACTGTTACACATTTGTAAATTCATCTTACTAATATTGTTGCAAAATTATATTTTTAGTAATTAATAATTATATTTTTAGCAATTAATAAATAAGTAAAATTATATTTTACAAATAATTTTATTAATAAAATACTGATTAACTAGAGAGAGTAACGTTAGAATCTTCAATTTACTTAATATATTCGAATGTTTCAAGCGATTCATGTGACTGTGATTTCTCTTCGACGAAGAGATCGAGTTATCTAAGGGTATTCCTGGAGCCATTTGTTGGTGCATTTAGCCTAGAGATATACTTTCTCTTGCGAAATCAATATGCGACGTTCGTTCACCTCAGGACGCGATATTCATCTTAAACGCGCGGTACAGCATAATTAGACGATACCGGCAGTCTTGGTGACGATCTATGCGTAGTGCAGAAACAGCGGCAAGGGTCTATGATCTGCAAAGGCTTCGGGCGTCGAAACGGGTTCGAGCAACGTTATAATAGTGTCAAGGTACAGTTAGCACGCGTCAGATGGATTTTATCGCGTTTATTTCCGAGCCTCTCGAGAGAATTGAACATCGTTCGCGTTATACGCATGTTATAAGGTACTTTTAAGTGACTCAACGCGGTGAATTCGTTTATTTGTGACTGTCATTAACTCGTTCAACCGGGACGCACGGATTTGTTATTCCGGTGTCGACGCAGCGACCGCCGCCGTCGCCATCGTCGTCGCCGACACCGCAACTGAACGTTATTCGAACAACGTAGCGTAGTATTGTTTATGAGAGAACCGCACTTTTATTCTCATGTGATTTCTCTCAGCGATTCTCCCGTCTCACCATTGCCCATTCGATCGGAACGACGTCTGTTTTCATATTTGACTTTATCTCCCTGGGATGACAGTTATTCATTATTCGCACGACGTGGACCGGCAATTTGTAACAATAAAGACAATATGAAGAGACCGCGGAAGAAAGACGGAAGCCATCGGGTCTCACTCGCTCATTGATAATTTGCTCCGCGTCAGGCTTCTCGCTTTTAATATTAACTAGTTTTAAAAGCGACGAGGTGAATGCGGCAAAGGAGAGCGTGGAACGACAAAAGGCCTCGACTCGGTTAGTTAGCCAGCGTGAAGTCCTACCTATCATTATATGCGTGTTTGTGTGTATCGAGAAGAGTACCGGTGCACCATTCTGTGACAAATGCGATGAACACATACATGTACGCTTGCACACTCATACGTAGGTATAATATTCGCACACATTGATACGTGTTTATAAACACGCCTTCACTAATACGTACGCGAACAAATAGCGCTTTACCGCGGATTCCCGCGCCACCGATAAGAACCATAGTGAACGAGGTGTGAAGGAGGGAGCAGGAGGTGGAGCAATTATATAAAATCATGTGTGTGTTAATGCACCGCTGCTTCCGACTCAGCGGAATTTTCACTGGATATCGTGTAAACACGATTTGCGGTTTTCCCCGACGATTACAGTGAATAAATATTTACCGGAAGTAAGATGGATTTTTTACACATAGTAGACATGCTGCCTATTTTAAGACGAAGTAAAGATAAAGTCGTAGATTCTGACAAAGCGGATTTTCTCTTCGTCATGCGTATCTTCAATTTTCATTGCAACGATATATCCAGATAGACTTCGTGATCGTCGCCTCACGTGAGACAATTGATGATAAAAACTATACAACTTTTGTGAAACTTTACAATATAATTAGATTTGTGAGACAAATATGCTGTATTGAATTAATCATTAAATTTGCATCATACAGTAATGTAAAGATTTTGTTATATTAATGTAGCAACAAATCTACTAAAAGATTTTTATATTACATTTTACATGACATTGTTTTGAGCAAATTTTGATTATTTTTTTATATCGTATTTCTTTTCTGTTTGTATTTTCTATGTGTTTATAATTATTTTTTGTGCTATATGAATCATTTATGGTTCTAGAAAAAATTACTATATGTAATTATATATGAATTTTGTTAAAATAGTAGTCGATTTGTAAAGGTGTGTCCTTTCCCAAACAAAAAGCACATTATATATATAATTACGTAAAAAATGTATATAAGTATATGTAAATTATATATAATTATATATATGACTTATATGTGAATTTTGCTTCTATGTGGTTACATATAAAATCATATACGCATGCATGCTCACGTAATTATATGTGTCCGCAAGGAAAAAATGTTGTACAAATACAATTGAGATAACTGGTTACATTTGTGGTAACTCCTGATGTCGACGTTTAATAGGATAAAATAATTTTTTCAAATGAAAGAAGGCGGAAAATATAACAATCTGACACGGTTATTGGTGTGAATATTTAAACTTTTATGGATGGATAATAACAAATCATATTTTCTCTTTTTCACATTCGGAATTATATTTGTCCATATATATATATACAGAGTGCCCCAGAACAATCTACGAAGTTCTCGTGAGAATGTAGAGTGGATTAAAGTGCTCTATACCGTTTTGCGATATTCGTAATAATAACCAAGAAATTGCGAAAGATTAAGGAAAAGCGTGTGCTGAATGAGGACGGAGAGGACGGATCGCTCGAGTTACAGCGCGATCCAGTAATATAGCGCGTGGATGTCGACGCATGGCGATTGGAAGACAATGCATCACTGCTTATACTTATACTGCTATGCTTCTACATTTTGCCATATCACGTCAAGGCGAGATGTAGGAGCACAGCGGTATAAGTATAGGCAGTGGTACATTGTGTTTCAATCGCCACGCGTCGACATCCAATCGCTATATTATTGAACCGCGCTGTAACTCAAACAGTCCGTCCCCTACTATTCAGCACACGCTTTTCCTTAATCTTTCGCAAATAATTTCTCGGTTATTATTACGAATATCGCAAAACGATATAAGACTTTCATGTACAATTTAACCCGTCCTACGTTCTCATGAGAGTTTCATAGATTATTCTGGGACACTCTATATATACAGGATGTCCAAAACCTTTCTTGCAACAATTCGTGGAAAAGTAGAACGGATTAAACGGAACAGAAAAGTCAAATACTATTTTGCAAAATTCGCAATAGTTAATGAGGAATTAATTATTTTGTCTAAGCTAATCAGCGCACGGGAAGCGGCAGTCGAAAGAGAGACGTCTTCGGCCGGCGTGCGACCATGACACATGCGAATTGCGCCCCTTCGCCCATAGCTACGAGATACAGCGGAATTCAATACACTATCACATGTGCATGATATATCTGTATGCCAAATCGACGGCGAATCGAAGCGTGTCATCGCTTCGGCTGATACGTGTATGTAGAAGTGAAACGACGAAGTGTGGCAACACTTTGGCGACGATTCGGTACACGGATATATCATGCACATGTGTTAGTATATCAAGCCTCGCTATGTCTCATAGCTATGGGCGCAGGGACGCAGCGAGTCGCGATTCGCGGTTGCGTGTCGGCCGAAGACATCTATCTTTCGGTTGCCGCTTCTTGTGCGCTGATTACTCAGATAAAATAATTAATTTCTCGAAAACTATTGTGAATATTGCAAAACGGTACGGGACTTTCTTGCTCACCTCAATCCGTTCAACGTTCTCGCAAAGTGTGATCATGGAATTCTGGGACACCCTGTGTATATATAGGGTAATCGTCCATTTTCTTCGCCGGCTGTGGCAAGCCGTATGTCCGGCCTGCTGCGTCGCGTGCTCTGATTTTCTCATCTAGTATAATAACTATTTAATAATTCGAAATTTTACGTGGTTGTTCAAAAAATGACTTCTACAATATTTTTTCACTTTTATCTGTTTTACTTGTATTTTTATTCTTGGACGTCTTATGCAGGACACCTTGTATATATAATTACAAATGATTATACATAGCTATATGGAAACAAAATTCATATATGTCTTATATGATTATATACAATTTATATATTATTATATAACTTTAAGTAATTATGTATAATGTATTTTGCTCGGGAAGAAAACTTTTGTAAATTAACTAGTAAAAGTTGTCGTTAAATTTACATATCTCTATCTATCTAGTCCGTTTTAATTTTTGTCACAACCTTCAATGATATATTTATACAAGATAAGTAAAACTAGTCCAGACAGTAGTGGAGATGTAAATTTACGTGCGTTAAATATAAATTTAAATACGTAAATTTCACAGTGTCTGTATTTGTTGATTTGTAATGCTAGTGTCGTTTATAAGTTATTTACATGATAGCCATATTTATCATAATGTGTGAATGATAAAATAGAAATGTAAAAAGAATTACAAAATTTACTCCAAACAATATATCATGTATAATGTAATATGAAAATTTGTGAGAACAACTTTTTTCATAAATTTATAGTTGCATTAATATAATAAAAAAATTTACCTCATTATATTTTATTAAATTTAATAATTAGTTCAATATAGTATGTTCGCTTCATATAATTAAAAATTGGATATTTTTCATTATTGATTATTTTATGTCATGACAATTATGAAAGTCTATTTGGGAGGAAAGAATAAAACTCTGTAATAACTTTTGCAGCGTCATATTTCCACTTATTTAATTTATTATATATAATTTTTTATCCTGCAACTCAAATTTACATTTTCTTTACAATGAAATAACAAGTAATTATGACGTGTCAATCTCTCTTTGCAGGCGTATATGAGGCCTCCGATGAAGAGTACGGCGGTTCAAATCGCGAGGATCGCCGCCATCACTTTGATCACAATGTCCGTGGTCTTAGGCAGCTTTATCCTGGCGGCGTCCTGGGTCCAGGCTAGAGCTTCTTGTACGCCGGAAGCGATTGCGGCGATGCAGCGTGAGCTGAAGCAGCAACAGCAACAACAGATTTCTGGGACTTTTCAGTCGCAGGGTGAATTCCTGAATCATCTGCAGCCGGAAGCTCTCGTGCAGGTAAGAATGTTTAAAGTATATTTTAACAGTAAGCAAAAGAGTTTCTAAATAACTATTGATCATGAAAAAACAGACAAGTCAAAAATGTAGGGTAGTGTTTTACTCTCTACCTGAAATCTTCGAGTTTTCCGTGACAGCAAATGAAAAGGCGCGAGTCTTGTTAACATAGTGAACATGTATGGTCTTGAAAGATATTTTGGAATTTGAATTATTTCTTGAAAAAATCATTTCTCATAATCTCCAAAGTTGGATATCATGGTAATCTAGTGAAATATAATTTTGTGAAATATTAAAAAAGCATATTATTTTCTCGGAAGCAATTATAATACCGAAATCAACTGAACGAGACAATATATCGGAAAATGCAGCTTTCCTGAAATAATAATAATAAATTTAATAAATAATAATAATAATAACAATAACAACAACAACAACAATAGTAGTGATAGTAATACAACAACAATAATAATAGTAATAATAATAATATCAAGAACAGTAATAATTAAATAAACAAGTATATGTAAATTTTGCAGTAATTTTATTGAATTGTAAAAATTGTAGGTCTTATGAGTGGTTTGTATGGCACTTATATTTGTCACATATAGAATGATGAAACAGAAATATGAAAGAAAAGTTATCAAAATGTGTCCAAAACGATATGTCACATACAATGTAAAAATCTGAATTTTAACATAATTTTTTGTTACGTTAACATAACCAAAAATTTATATTATTGTATGATGTAAATTTAGTGATTAATTCAGAGTATATAGTGTATATACTTTATAAATTAAAATAAATTGTAAAGTTTCCATCATTGATAGTCTTACATTTGGATAATGGAATTATCATTATAGATTAATGAAAGTTTATATATACTTCTCTGGGAATAACAATAAAAGAATATAAAAATAATATAATAGTAATGTAATAATAATATATAATAATAATAAATTTTTGATACATTGTTTCCCTCCTTTTCTCGTGATTTTGGTACTGTAACTTTCTGGGAGGATTATCCTACTTTTCGAATTTTAATACAAAATTTATAAACGCAATGCATGTCGACTGTTATTGTTAAACTGTCACTCGACATTATGATCGTAACGACGTTCAACTGCAACACAGACATTTATAATATAATAGACTGTGAAAATTCGTAACTCCCTAGATTTAGTATACCCAAAAGTTATGTATTTAAATAACGCATTTACGGCGGATTTACAATTAGTAACCGATTGGAATTAGTAACCGATTGATTGCTCTAATCAATATAAGAATTCTCCACCTGAGATTATTAAGTCAAAATGTGTATGTGCTGTCGATGTATATACATACGAAATGTGTATAGTGCGTATACACATTTTTACGAGTTATAGTATATTATATACTGGAATGTCTAAGAAGTCAAGACTCATTGTCTAGTATATTACATATGTCTGTGGTCCACAGTGAATCCGAGGTAAGGTGCTTGTAGTAAATAAAATAAAAGCAGGAGAAATTAAAAAAAAAAAGAAAAAGTAGACAGAAAAAGAAAGATTTTTTGTAACAGTCTTAATCTTTAGGCTACGGCGTTATTTTTATCAACGTTAATTACGGCATGAAGTCTTCGATCGACTCCATTTCGTTTTTATTAGATAAGAAAAAAATTATTTGAAGTAATATACAAAAACATTAGGTAATATTTAAATAAAGCGACTACTTGCAATATCTGGTACTTCAACAAAAATTTGTTTCGAAAGATATTATACAAAATTTTTTCTAGGGTCCTTTCGAGACCGCACATGTCATAGCCTAATAATATCGCCTAAAAGTTAATAATGTCGTTAAACATTTTCCAAAAACATAACCGTAAGCGCAAGACTATCGAAGCAACGATCATATTGCTCTATGCTCTATATAATAGTTACAGAGAAATCGCGCCGACGGTCCTGTAACTTTTCGTGGCAGGGAAAGTGACCGCGTCCGCGTATCAGGTTCAGTCTTAGATTTCTCGTTTAATTGTTAAGCGGATCAAACACCTATCGTTCAGCGCAAAAAGACGGCTTTCAGCTCATTTACGTTCACGCTAATGGCTGCGCGAAAGATTTCTAAATTTTCACATTCGTGCTCCGGTCGCTCACCGCCGGTATCGTAAATGGAAAAATCGATCAAACGGCAAATCACCACGATGAAGAGTCTCGTTGCGCTGTGGTGAACAAGAGATGGTCTCTATGGCTTGGGAACATCGCAAGCTCGTCTTTGACTTTTACGATCGAAAGTGAGACAGGAAAATGTTAGTGCGATGCCGCTAATAAAATTAGCGCTCGCTTCTTGTGCTTGGCAAAAATGCAAATTTGCTTTCGTGTAGCTCATGTATCTCAGATTGCGCGCGAACGTACGAAAATGCGAAAAAAGAAAACTCTTTTAAAGTGAATTAATTGTTAGAATAAATTCGCGGATACTAAAAATACCCTTAGAGGAAAATATATTATTGGTAATTACTAAAGAAAATAATAGTGATTAATCATTATTCGGTAATTCAGTGATTATTTGATAAATTGCTATATATAGTATATTCTCCTGTTGAATTTCTACAAATTTATCTATTGGAATGGTTTAAACAATTTATTATTTTGTTTACATAATGATAAAAGTTTAAATAATAAAAGTTTAAATAATAAAAAATTATTGTTTTATATTTTACGTCATAGCATTAATATGTATATCTCCGCATTGTTTCGATCCTATAATGACCATTCTTTTCCTCGGAACAAGCTATTCGATGCTTGACCAGAATAACCGAACAGGAACTGATGGCCAATGAATTGTGACGATATCTTATTAAATTATTTTTATAATATGTTCTTAGATCGTTCAAAAAACATTATAATGGCTTATTTGCTGACTAATGTTAGAAAGAACGCAACAACTATCGGAGTGCGATAGATATTAGTGTAATATAAATCAGCGAGCTATTAACAATACATGATTGCAGTTAGATTTTTAAATTAAATTTTATAATTAATTAGAGCAAACATATACACAATAAATTAATTCGAAAAATACAAGATATGAAGCAAGTCTTGCTAATCATAAAAAAAGTTATGATTTCTGTCTTTCTCGTTATCAGAGAATAATTTACACTAATATAAAGTAACAAAAACTTGATAATATATCAGTGATTATCACTGTTGCTGTATAATCATAGAATTACTCTGAAGCACCGATAGTAACCCGAGCAAAAATGTATCTAGTAGAGCAGATTTCAAGACTAGTAGTTAGATAGTAATGACTAGATAAGTTTTCTAGTCAGTCACTAGCTTGTGACTGGCTAAATATTCCTATTCAGTCTTTTGAATGTCAGGACTATTTAGTAACTATACCAATTACATAGATAATGGCTAGATGAAAAAGATTACACAGTAAAGAGATAAAAAATCATCGGTCATTCTGAATAGAAATCATTCTGAATAGAAATTGGATATCAGAACTGTCTAGTATCAGTAGACTGTCTAGTAGAAATTGAATATCAGAACCATATCAATTATAGTTACAAGTTATTTTTTTGTATTTAGCTACTAGATAATTTTTCCGGTACTACTAGGAGAAATGAGCATTACATTTCTAGCTAGTAGCGATGTAAGACCCAACTTTTCTGTGTTACTAGACAATCACTAGATTCAATTTTTGGTCGGGAACCTAGTAATTTAAATACTCAAAATTATTAACCACTAATAATAAAACTACTGAACATTAATAATTTATTATTGACCAATCAGTAATACTTTTCTGTAAGAGTATATTTTAATAAAGCTAAATGATCTTTTGACTAATAATAACGTTATTATATAATTTAATTACATTTTATAACATAAACAATTTTTTTCCATGTAAACAAGTATTGGTGTAGTTAATTCTTGTAGATTTTAGGTCTGTGAGTAATATTATCTGGTAGTAATATTATCTAAAATCTACAAGAATCAACTACTTTAATTCTTGTTTACGAGTACAAAAATTTTTTGTGGTCCTGTGTTATTATAAGAACTTTTTATAATATGTACGGCGATTAGTACAAAAGATTGATGTTCGTGATCGTTGCCGATTATTGTTCCACGATTGACAGCCGTTCCACCTTCGTTTGTTCTCCTTTCGTTTCGTTCTTTTGTAATCACATAATGACCTCTCTGCAAGCAAGTAATATCGAAATGTTTATCGTTGAGTGGTGTGTTGTCATACACACATTTGAATATTCGAAATGATAATTTTCTTACATAATAAAAATATTTCTTAACGCAGCAAAAGGAATGTTTCACCGATAATCGGTAAGTATTCACTTGTATTACGCAATTAGAATATCAAATTTTTATAACCTAATAAAACATATAAATTAACCATATGTACAAAAGAGAATATGGGAAAAATAAAAAGAAAATCTTATATTGATATCTATATCCTCAATGCTGTAGCTTGGATATTTCTAATGCCATGCGAAACAATTTATATAGAGTAATAATTATCATGTAACCTATATAGTACTACTGTATATACGTGTTTGTGAGAATTGTAGAAAGATGAAATATTCGCTGCGCTTTTGGGCAGTAACAGCAATTGTACAAAAAAGGATATTCCTGTTTAGAAAATTTCTTTATTTTTGACATGTTAATCTTCAAATAAGATTACATAGTGCTAAACAAAGAGAAGTTATTACTGCTCTAAATTGTTTTGAAGGAGAATTTTACTCAAAACGAATGAAAAATGGTAGTATTTTCACTCGAAGCGATAGTAAAAAATATTACCACTCGAAATTGCAAGAATGAACGTTTTATTCAAGTTTAGAGTAGATTCTGGTTTCATATGAGTGAATATTTCAATAATATTTAAAGTTATTAAAGTTAGGGGTCTTTTGGAATATGTTTCTGTGACGATATGGAATACACCAAAATCACTTCCTAGTTAAGAATAAAAATATTTAGTTGACGATTGCGAATAAAGAATTTACTATATGTGAATAAAAAATC